TAACTTGGACCTCTTGATCGTCAGCCGTTGCTTCGTCAGTTTGAAGCATTGGCGCACCTTCCTTGTTTGACATTTCCTGGTACAACGAGGACACTTCTTGCGTGGCCTTTGCTTCCTCTCTGACAAATTTTACTTCTTCAACGAATTCGGAATTTTCCTGACCCACGACTCCATCGTTGTGGACTTTTGAAGATGAGGCCGCATCGGCGCTCCTGTCGAAGGCACTCGATTTCTCCGAAGATCCAGCCCTTTGCTTCTCGTCAAGGCTGGAAGCCTTCTGAGACGATGGTGTTTCTTCATACTGCGAAACCGATTCTGATTGTCCGATTTTGTGCTCATCTGTCATTGGCTGTCGTTGTGACTGCAGTTGAAGGGTCGGTTCCACGATTACCTGCTTCTGAAGCACCGAGTCCAACGTAGAATCAGAATTTACCAATGTTTCGAACTTTAACTTGTCTTTGTCGTCGTCGACTTGTATGACTTCTGCACCGACTATACGCTCATGATCCGAAGCTGTTGATTCTTCAGATCCATTCGTTGGTGTCTCGTACTCATCTTGCATTTCCTCGGGAAGTAGAGACACTTCCCTAACCTCTTCTTTGCCACAGGAATCGGTATTCACCTGATCCATGACGAAATCGTCAAAGACGTCTGCGTATAACGCTGTGCCAACGCTTCTGTCGAAAGCATTCGAGATCTCTGAAGATCCAGCTTCTCTCTTTTCGTCAACACTGAGTGCCTTTTGAGATGGCACTGTTTCTTTGTACTGCAAAGCCGACTCTGATTGCCCAACATTGTGCTCTTCTCTCATTGGTTGCCTCTGTGACAGCAGATCAAGTCGAGGTCTCTCAGATTCCACATTTTGTGTTACTGCATCAGTCGCAATGCCCTGAATCATTTCTTCAATTCCTGGATTAAAATTGCGGCTTTCTGGGTCAAAGTACTCGTCCTCATCCATTGTATCATCTTGTTCCGCCGACATGAACGATGTCTCTGATGCCGTCGAAGAAGATGTGTGCTCCTTCCTATCGCTCGCTGATAATTCACCTTCCGTGTCCGCTTCCGACACCGATGTAGTCGATTCTCCATCACCAACGGACTTTGGCTCGTCGAGACATGTGTAAACAATTTCGACACCTCGGTCATCCACCTTCAAAGGCAACTCAGATCTTACTTGCGATTCGGTGGTCCATTGGTCAAGAGTGTATGGGCCTATGTGTGTTGGAATCTGATTGGCCCATGTGGCTAAATTCGATTGGTACTCTTCCCTGACGTGAGATATGGTAGATACTGACTTGTGATTGGGTGGAATTGAGACCACGATTGGTGGAGTAGAAGGAATGACTGTGCGATATCGAACATGGATGGGATGTACAAAAGGCTCAAGTTTGAGGTACTCAGGAGTTTCGAATTCTTGAAGGGACCCGTTGTCGAAGGCCGTTGGTTCTGAGCTCGGAAGTTGTTCGTCCAAGGATCTGTCACTTGAGCTTTCATCATTCTGCAACAAAAAAAATTATCGGTGGTCATTACAAGTGAAAGCTAAGCAATCTACCTGAATGCAGTTTCACTTTAAGAAATTACAAAAAGTATTGCAACCACCGCAATCATTACATTGTCTCGAAAGCGCTAAACGGGCGGGTGTGCACACAGACGAGGTGCCTCCCCATTGGTTGAATGCGGCCGCTGTTTTTAAATGCGGAAGTTAAAAAAGGTCTGCTAAGCAACCGAGAAACACTTCTACCTACCGAGAAATCGGTAAAAAGTGGAAGATTACTTGGGAAAATTGCGTAGCAGCAAAGTGTGTTGGGAGTAGAACCAATATCTTATACGATAAGTATTGAGTGTGAGTAATTTTGAGGCGAAAGTGAGATGGCAGCTCATTTGTGTTATTACATGCTGATCTAATACAAGCATTTGGACAATAAATCGGTGTCTGGGCCACGGGCAACCAATCACGTTTCAGTTTAATGTCTGCGTCATTCGCATTTCTGACACGTCGTGATTAAGGTTTGTTGTCGGCCCCAGCATGTAGTCCTGAACCACGCCGGGGTCACGGAATTAACCCTGGCCCGCTTACGCTTCCCTGATACCCGCGGTGAAGAAAAAGACAGGAGAGGACGTGAACACAACCGTTTACTTCAGAGCTCCACCGTGTTGGTGGCGTCGTGTCGTGTGTGGGGTTTGTGCGTGTGTATTTATACCTCAGATGCCTGAGTCATAGTTGCGCTTTCATGGAGACCTAGGTGTGAGGATAATCCAAGATATTTATTTTCGCTTCCATGAAGAACTCATTCCACGTCCCGGATTTACACTCGTTGAATTGGTTGCCATGGGATGGATCCGGCGCATTGATCCGCTGCGCGTGAACGCGTGCTTCAGTCCACTTGAACCACAGACTTTGTTGAGACCAAGTAAGGTTCGTTGCAGCTGACAAATGCGGATGGCATCCAAACTCATAATCTTGAATCTGCTGCTGATGTTGCTGCTATCAGGGACGTGGTTTTGAAATTCAGTTGTCGACAACCGTGTCCTAATTGGTCCCGAACACAAGGCCCCAAACCAGGACGTGAAGGTGTCAGCTGTTGCCTCGGTTGGAGGTTCAATTGAACCGCTCTCCGTCAACAGGGAGCCCTCCCCACACACGGAGTGGAAGCAGCCAGTTTTGGTGTCGGATTAGGCATCCACGCACAAACCCTGACCCCTGATTTGTTCATCACAGATGATTGATGGAATCCAGGTTCACTCATTGGCGTATCCGGTTGTACACAGCGCTGATTCATTTCTCATTGGCTGTAACTTCCCATTGCATTTAATTGGTCTTTCAGATAACTAGTCTTCTCCAAGTATCCAATAGGGTTGTTCAGAGGACAATCCCAAGGTCAAGTGTATTTACAAAATGTGAGGTCTTACGCACCGGGATTATATCCCGTTACGTCAACTTGTCCATGCGATACCCAAAAATACTTAGCCAACCATGTCCAATTTGTTAATGTTATTTAACTCATCTCCAAAGAGAAATATTTACTCCTTCGCTTAGCGTTGTTTTTATCCCAAGATCATAAAATATAATGTGAAATGGTGACCAGGTGTTCGTGTCATTAGTGCACGTTCTCGAATATTCCGTCCAATGATTTATTTTTTCAATCTCAGAAAGGAAATAAAAGCAAAAGTGTCGCTCTTCTAAATACTCGATTTAAACAAAAGCGGGGTATATGAATGTACACGGCATTCAAAAATACTAGTAATCCTCAGATAAATATTACAACCTGACAGTAACTTGACTCTTCCCATGGGGTGACCTTAAATGACGAGAAGACCAGATGCTGTCAATCCTGAAATTGCCGCAGCCGACCAATAATATATGTTTTTTTTATCAACAGAAGGCGACGTCTCACGAAGTGACAACCTGATGACAACTGGACGCATGTTTGACATCGGATTCATTTTTTGGCCGAATTTCAGGGCAATAAATTCTTCCTGTTACAGCAGCTTGAGTTTATGCGAACTTGAGAAATAAAACGTCTACTGACAGATTATAAGTAACTCAATTGTTATCTAAAAAAGGAATAACTTCGAATAGATGGTGCTGATGTGGAATTTGTTTCAAATGAGTGAAACCGGCTGACGCAAGGTGTTCGCAAATCAATCAGTCATTAATTATTATAAAAACTGAATCTAATAACGAACGTGGAACAGTTGTTAAGGTGGATTTCGGAGAGATCTTGCGAAGCAAAGCAAATTAGACGTTGCACTTCAGTAATTGGAGGATGTCCAATTCGGATTCCAAAATGAATTGTAAATTCATTAAGTAAAGCATTTGAGAGATCTTGCAGCACGAATTTACAAAATAAACTGCGGCCTATGCACTTTGAAGAAAGACGATCTGGCCTTCAAGTTAGATCAGCACGTGTCGGGAATTTGTTGTTCCAAATAAAAAAAGTCTCAACCACTGTCACATCACATTTTCAAGGTCATTGCAAGTCTATTTTAAGCAATAATCACTTCCCTACAACAACACTTATAACGGTAGACCTCGATATACATCTAACTTGTTTTAGTCGATCGGGTTAAGTGTTGCCATAGCAACGACTGTTTGCGATCCGCCTACCTGTAAGTTTACGGTGTGATAAGAGCGATAAGCCCAGCATCTGACCCACTTAGATCTGACTTTTGGTGTTACCAGGTGCTGCCAAAATAACTTTACGGCTTCTAGCAATCCGAGGTGCATTAAATGCACTTTTTTACCATGGTACCAGTCATTTAAAGCTAGCGCTTTGTTCCCAACCTTGAAGTTCGCGCGCGCGAGTGGCCTTGAGGTAGTACTTAAATTTACTGTCTGTTTACTGTCCATAAGATCTCCTCTTATCGTTATTTTGTTGTTGTGTGGGCCATAATTTCGGTCAACCAACAAAGCACCACTACAATTTTGAATGTTGGATTTCAAGAAATGTTTGGTTAAAGTTGGTTAATCATATTACTCAGATGACTAATATTTTATGGAGATAGCCAATCATATAACGGAGTCCTTTAAACCTGAAACTTGATTGGTCGGCTCGAAGAGACTCCAGGAGGCTTGTTTTGATTGGTGTCCAAAATGTCTGTTATTAGCAAAAAGCAGCAATATTAGTAAAGCCACCAGTAGGTTTTTGCTTTATGCGTATGTGTATTGAATTTACACAAGTGTAGGCATTGTGAATTTATCAAAATTAATCGTTTTAGAGACAAAACCAAGTACCAACAATTGGATCACGTCGGACGTTTTCGTGACTGTAAATAGCACCCGCGCGAATTTTGGTGGCCAGATGTAAGTCAGCTCTTAGTAAGTTAAGGTAGAAGTCTCCGACACTCCCAATTACCTCAACTGAAGACTGGATGGTGTCTACCGTGTTTTGCACGATGAATAACACCCGAGTGGCTTTAAGTGGAGGATTGAAGACAGCCCTAGGCAACTGGAATCGCAGGAGGTCATCAGGAAGGTGTGTCATAAAGTGGACCTACAGCGGGCAATGGGAGGCGTCGCACCTTACCCCGAAAGAGAGGCAGATGATGATGATGATTGTCGGGTCGGCAGCAAATGAACCACGAGACCATAAATTCAAAGCTAGCAAGATCGTTTACACACACTTGAAAGAGGGTAAATTATCTGCAAGCGATTGGTTGCAACAATACACCAATGCTATTGCTTCTGCCAACAAAAAATTCTGCTTAAATTTCAAAATGGTGATGGGCTTCTACATTTTCACCAAAATGGTTATTTTGAGGATACAATAGCTGATGGAACCAGTTTTTGAGAATTTCTTGCAAATTCATCCAGCTAACGGGCACTTGGCCTAATTCCAAATCCGCCTTTTTGCGGTTCAGCGATGCACTTGTACATATTTTCCACACGAATTGACCCTAAATTAGGTGAACGAGTGCCAAATGTGGACTGCGTCAAATTTTATACGCTTGTCAGTAAACTGCCTCATCACCAGCAATTGGTGTTCCCAAAATCTTCTCGGAAATCGGCGTTACGCACACCACAGTTTGAAAGTTGCGGTGACAACCGATGATAGTTTAAACAACGGCTTAAATTCTTAATGTGGTGGTTAATTTTTTCTCATCACCTATTTCGGTGGAATTTCCCATGACACCCGACAAATCTGCTTCGACGGTTAGGAACAGCTGTTAAAAACCATTAACGAAAACAATCCGTTGAGTGTTTACAAAAGCACGCATGTGGTCCATAAAATCCCGCAATTATTGCCTCATATGATTGGCCAGATTACCAGGCGCCAAATTTAAAATCAGTCTGCATGGAGAGCTGGAATTTGATTGGTGCATCGACCACGACGTGAAATATTGAAATGACAAATATCGAACCCACGACCTCTTCTCGGATTTGAATGACCTTGACTTTTGTACAATTGACAAAAATCGATAAAGCAGCAAATTGTTCTACTGAATTTGTGTGTTTAAATTGATTTTTATTGGTCTTCCCAGGAAGTACGATCTATTGAAACTACTTCACAAGTAGGTATTTAAAAGTACAAACATTCACACGACATCATCACTGAAGGCAAATTGCAAATTACTGGCACATTTCCGCATTCCAAAGTTAAGAAATGCACTGCCACTGGTCATTTATCAGGCGAAATACCAGATAAATTTTTGTCAATTAAAAATCTGGAGATTAGCGGTTTGATCTGTGCGTTATGGGTGAAAATTAAAGCGGAAAATTCACCAGAAGACTATCAACTAAGGACGTTGGGTCGCATGTCAAATTCTCATCGATATTTGCTTAAAAATTCACAAATATGAAGATATTTTGTGCCAATTGTGTCTAAATCTGATAAACTTTCACTCCTACACTCAAGGGATTGTTATCTACAAACACGTTGTTCCAGTAACTTTTTTTATTCCACTACCATCTTGTTGGGTGTGTATTTTAGTCGGTAAATAACACCCTCCCCTCTTTATTCCATAAATAGGAATGACAAGGGGCGAAGCTGCTTTGAGAAAAAAACATGAAATTTCATGTCAATACAGCAGTTTACCCTTTTCAAAATTTTAAATCTTGAAAGCCGTTGCCATTTTGAGTTGATTTCAGCAATTACAACAAACTTTGTTAAGGTTCAAACTAAGAATATTTGGTCATATCCAAAAAGCTTTTTTCCTTCATTTCAAGAAAATGCCACTACTCTAGATTGATTTTACGAATTTAAACAAAATTATTTACACCTTAAAATATGTGAACGGTTTCTGCGGTTTCTTCCTTCCTTATAAAATCTGTCTTTCATTTTCAAAATCTTCGATTTGATTGTCTTAAATAAGTAGGAATCTTTTTAGTGAAAGAACTGCGTTTTTGCGAAATTGTGGCCTCTAAAAGCTCTTAACGGCTTATTACTGGTTGCCATGGCCAACTGTGCTAATTCTCAGTTTGTGGAATATCAGTTTGCTTCAAACCCAAAGAAGTTAACTTCTTTCAAGATGTGATGATTTTGGAAACCCACATCACCATGTATTGATCCGGAAGGAATGATGCTTGCTCTACTTCGTAAAAATTCTTGTACAATATGTTTTAGGTCAATAAGTTACTCCCGTCCGTTTGAAATCACTGTCGTCCAAAGTTTTACAAGTTTCTGAGTTCCACTTTTTGCAGAAACTGTGTGAATTAACCTTGAAGAGACAAAGCAAACGATGCGATTTCATTGGTGCTTAAGGATTTTAATGCGACAACTTCCTACTGGTGTCGATTTAACTGTTTCGGACGGCGAATCGTGGTTCAGAAAAGGAAGAAGCGAATAACCAATGAGAAAAGACCAATGGTCAATAATTCATTTAATAAGCATTCTACCAAATGTGCATAAACTAAAATACACGGCCTGTTATGAACCCAGTAAAATTCCGATTTCTCTGCGCCAATCAGGTCTCTAATCGATTTAACTGGTATTCGACTGACTAGAACTTGTGCAACAATGTTCTATTAATGAAAGCTTTTTTTAGAAAATTGATTAAAAAAAACAGTAAAATGGGTGCTAACTAGATGTTTGTAAGAAATTAGCAATGGAAAATACTCTGCTGTTAACTATTTCGAATGATTAAGTTGCGACATTTCAAGGTAAATTAAAGGAGGGGCATTAACCTACTTGCTGATCGAAATTGCTAGTGGTTTTTTTAATTTTTCGCGAAGGTAGGTTCAAAATCTGAAAAATACTACTTGTTGAAACTGATCTTAAATACGGTGAAATATTAGAGAAGTCGAGGCATTCCAATGTCCAAGTGCTCCAAGTGACAAATGCGGCATATCCCAGTACAAAATTGGCCATTCAGGACTTACTAAGGATGGTTTAAAACAAACCACCGAGGTAATTTTGAATTTCCCAAGAATCGCGCGATGGCTGAACTCAAAACTGCATCAGAGTTTAAATCATTTGATTTGGATTAGGAGAATTAACATTTAACTAGAACGAAAGCTGTTTAAAGATGTCAAGAACTTTGCGATAATTTCAGAAACAGCTGTAGAAACGTTTGTTCTAAAGCCTGGCTGCTTGTAGATGCGTTTCTACAATGTGAGCCCATCTCCTTCAAGTGGAACTGCTGACAAACCAGTCAAAAGAAAAGCGTGACTTGCAGTGCACCAATGGGATTTGTAAAATCGGTTGATGTTGTCATCGATCGGTCTTGCCCCATTGCCAATTAAAACAATACTGGATTTTGAAGGACGCTGACTCTCAAACGGTCACAATGACGTGAATCATGGCTAATTGATTAAATTGGCGTTCTTAAATAGACGAAAAAATGGGTTTTTATGCTTTAATACAAAATCGCCATTGGTAATTTTGCAAACTGTGATTGGTTGTTAATCTCGGAGGGAATTTGTTCAGTTCAATTACAATAAGATCCATAATTTTGTTGACAAAACTGATTAAGGCCGATTCTAGTTGGTGATTAAAGCAAAAATATGCGATTAGTGGCATAACCACCTTCAGTAAATGCGTGAAATATTTGTCTGACATTTTGCGGTCTTCTTTGATGGATGAGTGATGGAATAACTGCGTATTAATGCGATTTCATTGGTGCATTTGCGGGAAAGGTAATCACTTTCACCTGATTTATGGACAAAGTACTTAAACCAATCTGATAGCTCGTCTTCGAGGTGCTAAATAGTGGAGTTTGTTTGAGAGAAGTGGTGCAAATGAAAGTAAAATGGAAGTACTACTGATGAACCCGTTGACGAAGGAGTGTGCTTCAAATTTCGTTTAATTCACGAAGCATGATATCCAATTATTGAAGCGCTCGCCACAAAATCAGCACTTTTACTAACGCTACAAAAATTAATCCTTCACACAATGGCTTAAGAACTTGAGCAAAGGAAATTCACAATTAGCGCCGGAAAAAAGCATTTTTTAAACACGATTGGGCTAATTAGATCTGTGCAAAAAGTCGAATGACCTATCAGGAGTGTTCGATGTCAATTAGTGTCACTTTTTGCTTAATTTAATGCCACGACGCTGATTCTGATATACCTAGGATTTAGGCTACTAAATTAGCATATTTTGAGCCAAAAAACTACAAGGCAGCAGGTGAATAGAGAATCGTTTTCACTCACCACCTGAGGATCCATGACAACGGTAGCTGTTGACGCGCTGTGTTCGTCTTCGTCGGCTGCAAAGTCATGCCGTTGTATTCCGTCCAGCATCACTGGATCGACTCGTGTTACTTCCAACTCCGCGTCGTCAGTCCGACAAGCTGCAGCCCCATCCCTGGAGCTAATCTCATCATCTTCAAAGCGAAGTCGTCGGACAACAGGACTGGCTTCCGGGGGACACGACGCCTCCAGACGTCGATCATCGAACCTCACTTTGGCCGGCGGCGGCTCCGAGGTTGAGACGCGAAGAGCTTTTTTCGGTCGTCGACAACAGCACCAGCAACGACGTTGGTGACGACGATCAAGATCGTCCAGGGGAGGCGAGTTCGTCGGACAGCAGCAACAACAGCAGCAACACAAGGCGCGACAGTTGGCGAGGAAGGACAAGGGACATTTTGCGAGGCCATGTCGATCGCGTTTTGATTCGTTGAGAGGGGTGGAGGTGGAGGGGGAGGGAGAGGTAGAAAGACGGTGTTTAGACGATGATGCCCGAAAAAGTTTTCGAAAACTACCGCAAAGAGAAGCGCTACCAGCACGCTCTTTACCCTTCGAAGAGGTTGGATGAGGAGGCTTCGGATCCTGGCTCTTACTCCTCTTGGCCATGTCTTTCGTTTAAATTAGTGACGTCTCCAAGGAGACGTGGTGATTGTTGCTGCGCCAAAAATTCAACTCTGTGCTGATTAATCTTAGCAAGCGCGCCTCTGAGTGCCAATAAGCTTCTGGGCATCGTTCGACCAATCACTTTTGGTCAAGGTCATCGTGCGCGGACCATTATGTTGACGCAAGAAATTGCGCGCCGATTTAACTTCTAGTGACTTTTTTAGCCTCGTGGGAGGATCAGTTTAGGTCAATTAGGTGTCCTCGATCTAAGTGCGCATTTTGACGCGGGCGCTTTAACTACTGTTGACCTTTTTAAACGACGATAATTTGCTGCAAAGGATCATCGTTGCTAAGTGAGAACAGTGACAAATTTAGTGCAACTGTCCGCCCCCTTTAGCCGCAGTTTTTAAAAGGGCGTCTCTCAAATCTTCTCAAATTACTTGCAGAGTTCGTAAATTCTTAATTGGTGTAAAATTCACCAGGTTATTTATTTAAGACAGCCTTTTGTGTCTACAAAAATAGCTTTTTTTAAAATCTAGTAAAAATGTACATAATTTAAATGAAGACTCCATTTTATCTTTGATTTTTTACACATTATTCTAATATATCTTAGGAGCCGATATATCAGGCACTGTTTTTATCCAATCAGCTTGCAAAACAATTATGGCCTTTTTTGATTGGTTAGAACTAGGCTGATGCCATTGACATTTAACAGAAGCAAGTTTGTGCTGTCAGAGATGCATCTCAAGCTAACCAACCTGTCAAGACACTCTACGTATATGTCACTCGGGCAAATGCGGAGTTTTTGATTGGTTCATCGGCTTGGGTTTGAATTAACGCATACCAACGAGAAAAAGCTTTTTTCCTTTAAACGTGATTAAGGCATCAGAAAATACGCCACTTTAAGCGATGTCGAAACATAATAATTAATTATTATAAGCATAATTCTCTCAGGGTATACATGCTTAAATACCGATCATGCAATTGTGATGAATCGTGTTGACTCACGTCTAATAACCCAGTCGTCGCAGTCACACACACGTTCCCCCTTTTCACGGCGTGCCCGTCAGTCACTGGGACTGCCTGCTCATTAACCCCTCTGTG